TATCAAAATTTAAATTGAAATTAAATTTTGTTTTTAAAATATAGTAATTTTTTTTGCTAAATTAGAAATATTATCTATTCTTTTTCTTTCTAGCCATGATTTTAGCAATCAAATAATTCGTAATAAAAATAAGCTATTACTATTTAATTATATTATTAAATGATTTGCAATAAATATGATTAACTTGATCATTAGAATTAATTATAAGATTAACTCAGTTTTTGATTAATTTCATGAATATGATCTGAATTTGAATACATGTGATTTTTTAAATTGATAAACATTAATAATATCATTTTAAAAATTGGTTCTTCCGATTCATTTTCTGGTAATCTAATGTTTTATTGGCCTATTGTTTTTTTTTTAAATATATTAAATTTCTGTAGATTTGATAATTTTTACATGAATTATTGTTTTCATTTGTTTCATTATCCTTATTATCATTATCATTTGTTTTATACTTTTTGCCTAGAATTTCATTTAATATTTTAGATAGTCTTATATTTCTGAAGCAGCATTTTCAAATTTATAATCTTATTCTTCAAGTATATCTGATTCATTATTTTCATCAAAAAAATCAAAATGCAATATAATATTAGAAATAAAGTTAGAATTATTTTTGATTTTGTTTGATTTTAAGAAATTTTATAAATGAAAATCAGAGAGTATTTTTCATAAGCAGATCACACTAAAAAGAACAGTTATTGGAATTGTTTTGCATAACATTGTTAAGGAAATTCATGAGTAACTTATAGGAAAAATCGTAAATTATCTACTAATCTAAAGAATTATCATACCCCAAATTAGAAAGTGCTTTTGATCACCTTATCACCCCAAGTATAATTAAAACCTATTATATTGTATATTGTGTGATTAAGTTTACTCATCATATACAGTAAATGTTTGTTAATTTTTATGATTCAACATTTCTTCAAGAATCATATATTTTATTGAAGATTTAATTTTGAATCACCCTTCAACTATTTCAATAATATATAGGAAGATTGTTAGGAAAATCGAAAAATTCATAAAGTGAATCTTTCGTCAAAAATAATATTTTTTTTTGTTAAAAGTTTTATTTACAAAAATGTTAAAATAATCAAATATATTTATGAAATGCTAATAATATAATCAATCGTATATTGGGTTTGAATAACAAACTTGATTAATTGTCCCTGTTTACTTGTTTGTTGAAAAATGACCAAAGTATTAATATTAACGAATAAATAAAATAGTAAGATCGGAATTAAATCCGATTTAACTTACATTATATTTTTTTCCCGCACATGCTCTAACCAAGTGCTTGCAGCTACAAAGTCCAACCTCTATTATTATTATTATTATTATTATTTGGAGTTGACTTTGCAGTTTCATGTTCTCAGTGTCCGCGAGCCCGTTTCGCCTGTCGGGCTCGGAACAAATCAAATTCTGGTGGGCGATTGATTCCCGGGCCGCCACCTAAAGTGATAATTTGAATTGTTATGAATTATTTCATATAATTAGTGAAATTGCAAAAAGTGAATGTACACTTACCCCGATCTGAAGAATCCTCGTCCTCACCGTCATAATCTCTTCTTCTCCTCTTTGGTGCACTACCTCCCTAATAATTTTTTTTCAAGATATTTTTTTAAAAAAAAAAGTGCTTAATAAAAATATCAAAATTTTAATGATACATCATAATTAATAAAAACTAACTCTTTGCTTGCCAAACGTTTCCGTTTGACGTGCACGACCTCGACCTTCAGTCCTGGCTGGGCTTCTATCTCGTACCGTAGGTATTAAAATGTTATTGTTTTTGATAATGGCATTTATCAACAAATTCGGGTTTATGATTGGCCCTGGAAAGTTTTAAAACGTTACATTAAGAAAAATTAAGATAAAATACGATGAGAAACATAATATTTACCTTTGTAATTAGAAGAGTGAGGAAGTGTTGCGAGATACCTCGCGATTTTTTCTGGAGGAGCGCCCGAAACAGAAACAGAAGTAACTGCCGGCTGTTCTTTTTCTACTTCCGTTTGATCATACAATTGCCACGATGACTGCATTTTCGGACGTATGAACGCTTCTTGGCTCACCGATTTCAATAAAGCCAGCCGCTCAGGAGCAGCGGGCTCACGTACTTCTTTTTTATTCCTTACCACCGTTGGTACTTTCGCTGTTGCGGTTGTAGTATGGTCAACTTATAATATAAGATAATCGGTTAGAATGGACGGTATAATTTCTGATTAAGGTAGCTAAATAATAACTTGATCTCTTGACAGGATCTCCATATTTACCATCCGAATGGCTTAAATGGTTTAATAAAAGAAATATATATTGAAATTAAAATCTAGATTGCTTACTCTGTGTGCCAACTTCGTTCTTTAATAAACTTGTATCTGACAAACCAAACCGGTCAGCAAATCTCTTTATCGAAGATTCTATGAGTTTATTTTAAAATAAATAATTAAATAATGCTTTAGAAGAAAATAAAAATGCATAACCATTAAGTCCTTAAATCGAAATTTAACATGTGGATTAATTTCATACCTTGGGGATAAATCATTCTTCTACGCTCTTCAGTATTCCTTATTTTAAAGAGTGTGCAATATTTGTACACGTATGGACAGTAAATATCCCAGAGTACTTTACTTTTATCAGATGGAATTAACTGAATGTATTTCTCAAAAACCGAATGTATGTCTAAATATATATAGATATATTGAATATCGTTTTAGAATGAGCAATTTAAAAAAAAAAATTATAATTAGTCCGGAACGAAGTGAAGGACTATAAGTTCTAGAAGCGGTGACACAAATGTCCGTGCTCAAAATTTGAGTAGATACGTGATTGGTCTCTTTCATTACACTTGTGTTCCGGACTTAAGAAAACGCTTCCTAGTATATTATAAGATTGAATAACTTACTAATATGATCATTTTTCCCTATAAAAAATTTTAAGTATTCAGCCACAAAATTGGGATTTTCTGCTAATTCTTTCTGATCCAATCCTAATTTGAAAATTTTCATGTCATCTCCACTAGGAGCATTATCACCAACACCGAAACCGGGTCGAACATTTTTTACATACTTATGAGCAAATTTGGAATTCATTGATGCTAAAATTTTATTAAAAGTTAGATTACACATAAATAATAAAATTGATAAGTAGGAAAATATACATACCAAATTCTGTATATACATTATATGTGCAAAGATGAGATTTCGCAGCTTTTTCATAAAATAATTTACGAGCCTTTTCTAAACCCTATTTTCAAAAAAAAAAAAAAAAAATTTAATAAATAAAACAAATGAAACTTAATATTAATAACATTAGCGTATGGGTTTACATACTTTGACACGTCTTACAAAAGATATTAGGTTTATCCAAATAACACCACCAGCAGAAACTATTTTATCGATTTGTTGTTTCTTACGTTCTTCAATCTCCAAAATCTCATTTTTAAGTCCTATTTGTTTTTTCCTTTTTAACTCCCGAGTCTCACCATCTTCATAGGTGGTATTTTCGGTTTCCTTGGCATCATGCCTCTTCATTAAGGCATCAATTTCCGCTTGTATGTCTTGTTCAATCTTTTCGTACTTTTTGTTCATAATTTCTAATAGGGATTCATATGTTTTAAAATTTTCACAAAAAGTTTTTTGAAAAGCATCACGATTAGCATCACGATTTCGGTAAATATTTTGGTTAAGATGTTCCTTAAGTTCTGCATAACGTAAGTTAACCATCAAACTATAAATAAGTGAATAGTAGTAAATAGAATATGTGTAAATATAATTATCTTTACAATTGGAAGTAAGTAAAATAATCAAAAATTTAACCTGTCTGGCATAATTTCAATCGCAGAACTCAATAAATTAAATGCTACTTCTTCCTTTGTTTCTTTTAATTCTTTCCCAAAAAAGGATCCAAACAAAGCTTTTGCCTCAACTTTTTTGTTTTTAATTGAGGCCCAATCTTCATCTCCAATCGATACCAAGTATTCAGCTGTATCATGCCTAGAAAATATTATTGCGACATTTTATAAAAGAAATTATAATCCAAAAATTAAAAATATTTACAGGAAATCAAAACCTACCATATCTTGGGGTAGTATCGCATGTACATCATGGCTTTTTTATAAGCGAAAATGATTCTTTTTGAAAGATCCACTGACTCGAGCCGAAGCGGATTGGATTTTTCCCATTCAATCCATTTTTCCAAATAATGTTTCTGAAAGATGAGAAAATAAAATCAACGTTATTATCAAATTTGATCCAAAAGCTGATAATATTTAAATCGTACCTGTTCTACTTCCGTTTTTGTCCATTTCAAAGGAATCGGAATTACATTCTTATTAATTTTATCAGTGAATCGACGTAAATCTTTAACAACTGTGGAAATACGATCATATTGTTGTTTCTTGATCTTAGATGAAAGGCAACAATAAAACACACGAGACATTTATGTAAATTAGCATTTACGAAAATGAAACTTGAGTAACAATGATAAAAGTCAAGATTTGATTATAACTAACCGGCTGCTGATTCGGAAGGCTCACTTTCTTCTCATTTTTCTTGTAACTCTTCCATATTTCCTCAATATTATTCAACGGGATTTTTAAAGCTTGTTTATAAGCATCTCGCAACTCATTCACCATGTTATCCGTGGGTTCAAGGTTGTTTAAAAAATTCAAATAATCTTGCCAAATAATACCTGCTTCTATATCTAACCCGACGTGATTCAGTGCATACTTGTAAATAGATATGATACTCCCAATAGGATCGTTCTCTGGTGGAATACTGGCTTCAACTTGTTTCCGCACATTTTCGATATAATGCTTAGCCATTTCAACGGAAATGGAATAACGAAAAGAATTTGGATATATTTCTTGAACTTTACTCTTATCATCTTGGCTTAATTCGAAGTTAAGATATTCAATCCATTGACGAGACTAAATTAATCGCACAAAAAAAAAAAAAAAAAAAAAATAGATAAACGTAACGATCAATATATCGTAACAAGATAACGTTTAAAAGAACCATTCACGATTTATAACATGTAACAAATTGTAGTGTAAAAGATAACTTCAAAGAATCAAGATCATACATCTCGACCAATTCAATAGAAAATGATATAATCCAATCACAAAGGACGTTATAATTGATACATATCGCATACTTAATAACTTTGTAAAGACACAAATACAAAGGCATACTTATCCCACCACCAAAAAATAAAATAAAAAAAATGTAACATTATAAAAGGCTCCAAAATAAATGATTCCAAAACATTTTAAATATTTATTAAATATAATTTTGTCAATTAATTCAAGACAAAGAGGGTTATAGTATTTATATTCACTTACCACTGTGGGAAATTTTTCTGTAAAACTTTTAAATGTTTCTCTAACTTTATTTGTATCGCCTTTATCTTTCAATTCATCAAGTAAAGCTAACCACGCTTCCGTGTCATATACATTTTCAGTTATACGACGTTCGAGCGTTTCAATTTGTTGACTATGTCGTTGTTGTACCTGACTAAGTTGTTGTTGTGCACCAGGTGGAATCTGCCAAGAGACAGGCTCCGCTGGGACCACTTTTTGTTTTTGATTAATCGAAGCAGATGAGGTACCGACATGAGGTTTATTTATTGTGTTTGTACCGCCATTCGTTCGACGTTCATTTGCATTTACACCATTTGTAAATTGTTTTGTATTATTATTATTTGCGTGGTTCTGATTACGAATAGCTGGTGGTTTGTTGATGTTTCCAGGCATTGTTGTAGTTGGGTTGGAAACAGTGAC